CTGGTGAGGAGTAGGGAGGGGGAAAGGTAGTGGAGGAAGATTTATAGGGGGTTCGAGCCAAGAGGATTTGATAGGTGGAGCAGGAAGAACATAGGTCGGGGTGGGTGCGGAGGTCCCAAAAAGCCTGGACGTAAGGAATTTCATTGTCCTTGCCTGCGCGGCGACAAAAATCGTCGAGATCTCGGAGGGTGTTGAAATCAAAAGTGCCAGTCGGGGGCCAATGTGACTGGTTACTGAGTTTGTATTGGGGCCAAGCCACCTGGGACAGGAAAATAAGCTTTTTCTTTCTGAGGGTTTGGGAATATCCCAATTTGGTAAAATTTCACAGCAAGCACCCAAGGGGGGTGCTCAGAGGTATTTTGGACTCCAAATTTCCCATGGCAGGTGCAGCTACAGACTCTCTGGCGCGGAAGGGCAGATGCAACGAAAAGGCGTCCCCGTTCACTGCAAATTCCCCGGAGTACAATTAAGTATGGAAAGGGAAGCGGTCAGAGGGGCATCCCCCGTCTGGCAGCTGTCCCTCAGAAGGCTCCTGGAGCCGGAACGGAAGACTACCTTGGCTCGGCCGAGACTAGGCAAGGAGTCCGTGCGGAACGCCGGAGAGGGAGCAACTGCACTGTGCCGTAGGAAGAGGAGACGGGAAGCGGAGGAAGGCAAAACAAGAAAAACTTGGCTTACCTTAATCGGAGCGTGGTGGCAGGGCCAGTGTTGGGTAGGTCGGGGAGGGGGGCCGTGGCAGGGCCAATGGCCCCTCCCGTCCCGGGTTTCGGCACCACTTGTCCGACCTACCCTCTGTGGGAGGACTGAGCTCGTTCGGAAAAAAACCGGACCGCAGGCAAGAAGAAAGTTCTTAAGTTCAGGCTTTATTGAGAGGAAAGAGCCTCCGGGCGTGCCAGCCCGGACGAAAAGGAAAAATGGCCGTGCCGCCCAGAGGGGCAGGGTTGTCTTATAAGGGTAGAAGGGCTGGAGGAGTGGAAAAGTTGGGGGCTAGGTGGTGGGCAACTGTTGGCCAGTTTGAACCACTAGGCGGGAAGCCGGGTGGCGGGAAGCCGGGGAGAGCTGATGAGGCAGAAACCGGGCGGGCGGCGGGAAACTGGGGAGTGCTGATGAGGCAGAAGCAGCGGGAGGGGAGCTGGGGAGTGCTGATAAGGCAGAAGCGGCGGGAGGTGGCTGCGGCGGCGAGAAGGCCAGGGCAGTATGTAAAAATAGGAGAGCCTCTTTGTGGGGGGAGGGAAAGAGAGAGAGAGAGCTTTCAAGGTAGAGGCAGAGTTTTCCAAACACTCCTCCTCTCTTCTTCTTCTTTCATCCTGCTACTTCTGCTGCTTCTTCTTCTTCTTTTTTCTTTCTTTCTTTCTTTTTTTTTTTGAGACGGAGTGTCACTCTGTCACGAGGCTGGAGTGCAGTGCCGCAATCTTGGCTCACTGCAACCTCCATCTCTTGAGTTCAAGCGATTCCCCTGCCTCAGCCTCCTGAGTTGCTTGGACTACAGGTGTGCACTACCACACCCAGATAATTTTTCTGTATTTTAGTAGAGACAGGATTCCCCATGTTGGGCACGATGGTCTCAATCTCTTGACCTCATGATCTGCCCACCTTGCTGCTGCTGCCTCTTCTACTGTTGCTGCTTCTGCTACTTCTTCCTTTTTCTCTTACTCTTCCTCCTCCTCCTCTTCTTCCTTTCTTCTCTTCCTCTTCTTCCTCTTTCTCCTCTTCCTCCTCTTCTTCTTTCTTCTCCTTCTTCTTTTCCTTCTTCCATCTCCTCCTCCCCTCCTTCTTTCTTTCCTTCTTCTTTCTTTCTTCTTTCCTCTCCTCCCTCTCCCTCTCCTCCACCTCCTTCTCCTCCTCCCTCTCTTTCTCTTCTTCCTCCTCCTCTCCCTCTTTCCCTCCCCTCCCTCCTCTCTTCCCTTCCCTCCTCCCTCCCCTTCCCTCCTCCCTCCCCTTCTCCCTTCTCTTCTCCCTTCCCTTCCCTTCTCCCTTCCCTTCCCTTCTCTCTTCCCTTCTCCCTTCCCTTCCCTCCTCTTTTTTCTGTTCTTTCTTTCTTTTTTTTCTGAGATGGGGTCTTGTTCTGTCACCTAGGCCAGAGTATAGTGGCATGAAGGAGATAGAGATATAAAAAAGCCCTTAAAAAGATAAATAAATCCAGGAGCTGATTTTTTGAAAAGGTCAACAAAATAGATTGCTAGCCAGACTAGTAACAAAGAAAAGAGAGAAGAATTGAATAGATGCAATAAAAATGATAAAGGGGATATCACCACTGATTCCACAGAAATACAAAGTACCACCAGAGATTACTACAAACACCGCTATGCACATAAAGCCGTAAATCTAGAAGAAATGGATAAATTCCTGGACACTTACACCTTCCAAAGACTAAACCAGGAAGAAGTTGAATTCCTGAATAGACCAATAACAAGATCTGAAATTGAGGTAGCAATTAATAACCTACCAACCAAAAAAAGTCCAGGACCAGATGCGTTCAGAGCTGAATTCTACCAGAGGTACAAAGAGGAGCTGGGACCATTCCTTCTGAAATTATTCCAAATAATACAAAAAGAAGGAATCCTCCCTAACTCATTTTATGAGACCAACATCATCCTGATACCAAAACCTGGCAGAGACACAACTAAAAAAGAAAATTACAGGCCAGTATCCATGATGAACATTGATGTGAAAATCCTCAATAAAATTCTGGCAAACCAAATCCAATAGAACATTGAAAAGCTTATCCATCACAATCAAGTCGGCTTCATCCCTAGGATGCAAGGCTGGTTCAGCATATGCAAATCTATAAATGTAATCTGTCACATAAACACAACCAAAGACAAAAACCACATGATTATCTCAATAGATGCAGAGAAGGCCTTTGACAAAATTCAACAATACTTTATGCTAAAATCTCTCAATAAACTAGATATCGATGGATCATATCTCAAAATATAAGAGCTATTTATGACAAACTCATAGCCAATATCATGCTGAATGGGCAAAAACTGGAAGCATTCCCTTTGAAAACTGGCAAAAGACAAGCATGCCCTCTCTGACCACTCCTATTTAACATAGTATTAGAAGTTTGGCCTGAATCAGGCAGGAAAAAGAAATAAAGGGTAATCAATTAGGAAAAGAGGAAGTCAAATTGTCCCTATTTGCAGATGACATGATTGTGTATTTAGAAGACCCCATTATCTAAGCCCCAAATCTCCTTAAGCTGATAAGCAACTTCAGCAAAGTCTCAGGACAGAAAATCAATGTACAAAATCACAAGCATTCCTATACACCAATAACAGACAGCCAAATCATGAGTGAACTCCCATTCACAATTGCTACAAAGAGAATAAAATACCTAGTAATACAACCAACAAGGGATGTGAAAGACCTCTTCGAGGAGAACTACAAACCACTGCTCAAGGAAATAAGAGAGGACACAAACAGATGGAGAAACATTCCATGTTCATGGTTAGGAAGAATTAATATTGTGAAAATGGCCATACTGCCCAAAGTAATCTATAAATTCAATGCTATCCCCATCACTCTATGATTGACTTTCTTCACTGAATTGGAAAAAATCACCTTAAACTTCATATGGAACCAAAAAGGAGCCTGCATAGACAAGACAGTCCTAAGCAAACAAACAAACAAACAAACAAATAAATAAAGCTGGAGGCATCATGCGATCTGACTTCAGACTATACTACAAGGCTATTGTAATCAAAACAGCATGGTACTTGTACCAAAACAGAGATATAGACAAATGGATCAGAACAGAGGCCTCGAAAGTAATGCCACACATCCAAAACCATTTGATCTTTGACAAACCTAACAAAACAAACAATGGGGAAAGGATTCCCTATTTAATAAATAGTATTGGGAAAACTGGCTAGTCATACGCAGAAAACTGAAACTGGATCTTTTTCTTACACCTTGTACAAAAATTAACTCCAGATGTATTAAAGATTTAAACATACAACCTAACACCATAAGAACCCTAGAATTAAACGTAGGCAATACCATTCAGGACATAGACATAGGCAAGAACTTCATGACTAAAATACAAAAAGCAATGGTAACAAAAGCCAAAATAGGCAAATGGGATCTAATCAAACTGAAGAGCTTCTGCACAGCAAAATAAACTATCATTAGAGTGAAACAGCAACCAACAGAAAGGGAAAATAATTTGCAATCTACCCATCTGATAAAGGGCTAATGTTGAGAATCTACAAGAAAAAAACAACCCCATCAAAAAGTGGGTGAAGGATATGAACAGACACTTTTCAAAAGAAGACATTTATGCAACCAACAAACATGGGAGAAAAGCTCATCATCACTGGTCATTGGAGAAATGCAAATGAAAACCACATTGAGACACCATCTCATGTCAGTTAGAATGGTGATCATTGAAAATTCAGGAGACAACAGATGCTGGAGAGGATGTGGAGAAATAGGAATGCTTTTATATTGTTGGTGGGAGTGTAAATTAGTTCAACCATTGTGGAAGACAGTGTCGTGATTCCTCAAGGATATAGAAATAGAAATACCATTTGACCCAGCAATCCCATTACTGGGTATATATCCAAAGGATTATAAATCATTCTATTATAAAGGCACATGCACATGTATGTTTATTACAGCACTGTTCACAATAGCAAAGACTTGTAACCAACCCAAATGCCCATCAATGATAGATTGGATAAAGAAAATGTGGCACATATACACCATGGAATACTATGCAGCCATAAAAAGGATGAGTTCATGTCCTTTGCAGGGACATGGATGAAGCTGGAAACCATCATTCTCAGCCAACTGACACAAGAACAGAAAACCAAACACTGCATGTTCTCACTCATAAGCAGATGTTAAACAATGAGAACATGTGGGCACAAGGAGGGGAGGAACATCACACACTAGGGCTGTTGGCAGGTGGGGGGGCTAGGGGAGGGATAGCAAGGGGTGGGGGAATTGGGGAGGGATAACATTAGGATAAATACCTAACGTAGATGATGGGGGTATAGATGCAGCAACACCATGGCTCGTGTATACCTATGTAACAAACCTGCACATTCTGCATGTACATATACCTTATATAAAATGAACTTATACATATATAAAATGGTCAGGGGTTTGCGTTCCTAGAATATACAGGGATACTCAAGGCCAATGATAGATTGCCTGTTGGAAAAATACACCCCTTATACCCCTTAGCCCAATATATTCTTGGTCAAACTTGAGTTTTTACATGAGCATGCCACTCCATCAGCCACTCTGATTAATATGACCAGACTGGTTGGGGGCAAAATCATTTCATTTGTCTCTCCTAGGAGTTTTATAGTTTCAGGTCTTATGTTCAGGCTTTTAACACATTTGAAGTTATTTTTTGTACATGGTGTAAGGTCATGTTTTTTATTTGCACGTGGATAATCAGTTTTCCCTACACCATTTGCTGGAGACTAATCTTTCCCCCAGTTTGTGGCCTTGGAACCCATTCCAAATATCACTTGACCATATAAGTGAGGGCTTATTTCTGGGCTCTCTCTTCTGTTTCATTGGTCTGTGTGTCTGCCTTTATGTCTAAATAATACTATTTTGATTAGTTTCGTGATATGTTTCAAAATAGGAAGTGTGAGACCTCCAGCTTTGTTTTTCTTCCTAAAGGTTTTTTTGGCTATATGGGGTTCTTTTAGATTTTATATGCATTTTAGGGTTTTAAAAACTTTTTTAAAAAGAAGCTATTGGAATTTTGATAGGAATTGCATTTAATTTATAGATCACTTTGGGTAGTATTGTTATTTTAACAATATTAAGGCTTCCAGTGCATGAACATGGGAGGTCTTTCCACTTATTTTTATCTTCTTTAAGTTTTTAAAATACTGTTTTGTAGCAGTCTTTAATTTTTTAAAATACTGTTTTGTAGCAGTGATACAAGAAACAGGAGGGATGAATTAATGATATTTTACTATTATAAGATACATTACCCCTAATGTAGTACAGTGTTATGTGAAAGTAGACTTGAATTAATTATAAATGTATATTGCAAACTCTAGGGCAACCAGTAAAGAAAGTCAAAAAAAAGAAGTTTAGACATGCCAGGAAGGAAGAGAACATGACATTGTACAAAGCACTCAATTAAAATCACAAAAGGCAGAAAAACAGTGGAAAAGAAAAGCAAGAATAAAAAACAAGGGCAACAAATAGAAAATCAGTAACAAATATGATATATTAATCCAACTATATCTGTAATGACTTTAAATGTCAGTGATCTAAATTTCACTAAGACAAAGACTGAGTAGATCTAAAAACAAGACCTAACTATATGTTGTCTACAAGAAACACATTTTAGCCCAGGCATGGTGGTTCATGCCTCTAATCCCAGCACTTTGGAAGGCCAAGTTGGTCAGATCACAAGGTCAGGAGTTTGAGACTAGCCTGGCCAACATGGTGAAACCCTGTCTCTACTGAAAATACAAAAATTAGCCAGGCATGGTGGCATGCACCTGTAATCCCAGCTACTCTGGAGGCTGAGGAAGGAGAATTGCACGAACCCAGGAGGCAGAGGCTGCAGTGAGCCAAGATCATGTCATTGCACTCCAGTCTGGGCAACAGAGCAAGACTCCTTCTTGAAAGAAAGAAACACATTTTAAATATAAGAGCATATATAGATTAAAAGTAAATGAATGAAGAAATACATACCATGCCAACACTAATTAAGAGAAAGTGGAAGTAGCTCTATAAATTTCAGGCAGAGCAAACTTCAGAGCAAGAACAGTTATCAGGGATAAGGAGGAAAATTAAATAATGAAACCAGTGTTCAGTACCCTAAGAAGACGTAATTTTTTTTTTTTTGAGATGGAGTTTTGCTCACCCAGGCTGGAGTGCAATGGCACAATCTCGGCTCACTGCAACCTCCACCTCCTTCAATTGTCCTGCATCAGCCTCTCAAGTAGCTAGGATTACAGGCACCCACCACCACACCCAGCTAATTTTTAGTTTTTAGTAGAGATGGAGTTTTATCATGTTGACCAGACTGGTCTCAAACTCCTGACCTCAGGTGATCCCCCTGCAGGGATTATAGGCATGAGCTACCACACTTGGCTGACATAATAATTTTTTGTTTTGTAGACACAGTTTCACTCTTGTCAAGGCTGGAAGTCAATGGCTTGATTTTGGCTCACCAAAACCTCCACCTCCTGGGTTCAAGCGATTCTCCTGCCTCAGCCTCCCCAGTAGCTGGGATTACACGCATGCGCTACCACGCCTGGCTAATTTTGTATTTTTTAGTAGAGATGGGGTTTCTCCAAGTTGGTGAGGCTGGTCTCAAACTCCTGACCTCAGGTGATCCACCCGCCTCGGCCTGGGCTTACAGGCATGAGACACGGTGCCTGACTGATATAGTAATTCTTAATTTTTATTCACCTAACAACAGGGCATCCAAATATGTAAGGCAAAAATAGAACTACAAGAAGAACTGGATGAATCTACTATTATAGTTGGAGACTTTAACACTCCTATATCAGAAATGGACATAGTCAACAAGCAGAAAACCAGTAAGGACATAGTTGAATTCAATAAGACCACCAATCACCTGTATATAATTGGCACCTATAGAGTGCTTCATCCAGCAGCAGGCTGCACATTACAGTTCTCAAGATCACATGGAGCATACACCAAGATAGATCATAGTCTGGGCTATAAAACACACCTCAACAAATGTAAAAGAAGTCACATAGCGTCTGCTTTCAGACCACATGAAATTAAACTAGAAATTGATATCAGAAACATAACTGAGAATCACAAATACTTGGAGAGTAAACGACATATCTCTAAGTAATATATGAGTCCAAAAAGTCTGATGAAAAGAGTAAAATATTTGAAATAAATGAAGCTATAACTTGCCAAAATGTGTAAGATACAGCAAAAGCAGTGCTTAGAAATTTATAGCATTGAATACATATATTAGAAAAGAAGATTTAAAATCATTAATCCAGCTGTCAGCTTTTATCTCAGAGGAGGACAATGTGAAACTTTCTTCAGTTGTCCGGAATCTGGGTTCATAGAACATCAGCCCCTTCACCATGCCACTGAAGAAAAAAAGTAAAAGAATTCATTCAGTATTCTGCCTTAGGAAACTAGAAAAAGAAGAGCAAATTAAGTCCAAATACGCAGAATAAGATAAATAAAAATTGTAGCAGATATCAATAAAACTGGAAGCAGGAAAGCAATAGAGAAAAATAACAAAACCAAAATCTAGTTTTTTAAAAAAAAAATCGGGCCAGGCGCGGTGGCTCAAGCCTGTAATCCCAGCACTTTGGGAGGCCGAGGCGGGTGGATCACGAGGTCAAGAGATCGAGACCATCCTGGTCAACATGGTGAAACCCCGTCTCTACTAAAAAATACAAAAAATTAGCTGGACACGGTGGCACGTGCCTATAATCCCAGCTACTCAGGAAGCTGAGGCAAGAGAATTGCCTGAACCCAGGAGGCGGAGGTTGCGGTGAGCCGAGATCGCGCCATTGCACTCCAGCCTGGGTAACAAGAGCGAAACTCCATCTCAAAAAAAAAAAAAAAAAATCAAAAAGTTGATAAACCTTTAGGCAGGCTTACCAAGCAAAAGAGAGGGAAGACACAATTACTAATATCAAAAGTGAAAGAGGAGGCATCGCTACAGATCCCCTGGACACTAAAAGAATAATAAAGGAATATTATGGATAACTCTATGCCTACACATTTGATAACCTAGATGAAATGGACCAATTACTTAAAAGACAGTCTGGCCGACGCCCGCCAGGCTGAGCTGTGGACCGAGGCGGCGCTGCCGCTGCCGCGGGGTGCACAATGCCTTGAACCTGGGGAAACTATGTGAAGCCACACTTTCTGGATTTTGAAAGACATCATTTCATCATGGGACAGCAAATTTTGGATCAGACACAGTTGGTTATTAGCAAGTTACCAGAAAAAGTAGCAAAACATGTCACATTGGTTCGAGAAAATGGCTCCTTAACTTATGAAGAACTTCTTGGGAGAGTAGCTGAGCTTAATGATGTAACTGCTAAAGTGGCTTCTGGCCAGGAAAAACGTCTCTTTGAGGTACAACCTGGGTCTGATTCCTCTGCTTTTTGGAAAGTGGTTGTACGGGTGGTCTGCATCAAGATTAACAAAAGCAGTGGCATTGTGGAGGCATCACGGATCATGAATTTGTACCAGTTTATTCAAATTTATAAAGATATCACAAGTCAAGCAGCAGGAGTATTAGCACAAAGCTCCACCTCTGAAGAACCTGATGAAAGCTCATCCTCTGTAACATCTTGTCAGGCTAGTTTTTGGATTGGAAGGGTAAAGCAGCTGACTGATGAGGAGGAGTGTTGTATCTGTATGGACTGGCGAGCTGACCTCATCCTGCCTTGTGCTCACAGCTTTTGTCAGAAGTGTATTGATAAATGGAGTGATTGACACAGGAATTGCCCTATTTGTCGCCTACAGATGACTGGAGCAAATGAATTTTGGGTGGTATCAGATGCACCCACTGAAGATGATATAGCTAACTATGTTCTTAACATGGCTGACGAGGCAGGCCAGCCCCACAGGCCATGACCTTGGAGTGAAGGTCTTCTGTTGCTATTGTAAGCTACAAATATTTGATCATGGGGGAAGAACTCAAGGTTGTGGCACAGACACAGAAAAATCCATTTTCCCCACCCTTTTATTTCTGCTACTCTGATCATTTGTCCCACTTTAAAAAATAAGCGTCCCATGTCTTCCATTTATGGTAAACTAAAATTTGCTACTGTTTTAGACTATATTTTCCTATTATTTGTCTGTTCAAATTTGTATTACAATTAATTGCTCCTGAATTCTTTGCTAAAGGTAACAGCAGCACTTCCAGAGGCTTCTGAAACACTAATGTTTTGTGGGGCAGGAGTATTCTGGAATCTTTTTAGTTAGCTATAAAATAAACCTCAAATATTAAAAAGTTGTAGCCATCTGAGAGAGGAAATTTTAAGTGACTGAAAATGTAGAATACATCAAAGTGCATGTTACTGCTTAAAACTAGTGTTTCTGCTGGAATCTAAGGAGTATATATGCCCCCTTGTGGTTCATTGTTGCTCCTTTAATTTTTACTTGAAATGATCCACAATTATTTCATAACTTTAGCAGTGTGTTTTGGAACTACTGTACTTAAAGATTTTTTTGTTTGTTTGTTTTTGCCATACTGTATAATTTGGGTGAGGCCTATAAAGTTGGGTGTGACTTTCCCTTGCAAATGGATTTCTCCTGGGGAATTTTCCTGGCTGTTCTGGAAATGCTTTCCCACAGCTGCGTAACTGTTCTAAATGGCTTTGATAATGCTCACACATCTTGGAGTTTCAGAAGATAACTTTTCTGCATCACAAATACCAAATTTTGTATTTCTAAATTATTATAAGTCATTTAATATTGGGTTATGGTACTTTTTTCCCCCTTAACTTGAAAACATCTTTCTGAGATTTCAGGGTCCTCAAATTTCATAGATTAAGAGACAAGAGGCCAGCATGGTGGCTCACACCTGTATTCCAAACACTTTGGGAGGCCAAGGTTGGTGCATCACTTGAGGTTAGTAGTTTGAGACCAGCCTGGCCAACATGGTGAAACCCTGTCTCTACTAAGATACAAAAACTAGCTGGGCCTGGTGGCAAGCACCTGTGATCTCAGCTACTCGATAGGCTGAAGCAGGAGAATTGCTTGAACCTGGGAGGTGGAGGTTGTAATGAGCCAAGATTGTGCCACTGCACTCCAGCCCGGAAGACAGAGCGAGATTCCTTCTCAAAAAAAAAGGACAAGAAAATAGAGTGATGCTTTTTTACCGTATATACATAAAATATGTCTGAAAATTAGAAGATAATTTGGCATTCTTGCTATTTCACTGTACTTCCATTGAAATATTCTTTCCATTAAAATAGTCTAAAAGAATATAGTAATAATGGAATTGTGATCTTCAGTCACAACCATTTTTTTGCTTATCATCTAAATTTCTAACATTAATATTTTGGCATGTAATAAAACAAGGGCCTGCCTCCTTTAAAATTTAACATTCCATGTAACTTTTCTGACTTCTTCAAAGTTGCAAATATTGCTATTTTCCTAAACCAGGGTACACAATTTAAGTTGCCACTGATTGATGACAGAATTTTTGGATAATAGGATTTTAATAGGCAAGCAAATAAAATTAAATCAATTTCAAGGAAAAATATCTGGTATTTCAAGGTAGCTTGAAATTTCAAATTCCAAGGTAGCTTGATCTTGCCCCAAAAAATGCTGAAGACTAATCCATTGACATTCATAATGGGACAGCTAAATACCAAACAGCTAACTACTCCCTATGGAGGTTTATGCAAGCAGAGTACCAGGGGTTCCATCATATCAACCTGGCAATGCACTTGGTGGTTGTGTGACCTTGAGAAAGTCTCTTACTGTTGTTTGTAGGTTCCTACTTTAGAAACTGAGCCTTTATTTGTGGTTTTCCCACTATGTCAGCAGCAAAAACTTTTTTTTCAAGGAAAATCTTACAGAACCCTTAAACACACACGCATACACACACATCCTACCCCTATATAAAAGTCATATTTTATTATAAATGTCCTTATTTATTATATAAACTTTATATATTATAAATATGATTAAGTCAACCAATAAAAACACATTGATGCATTGGTAATAGCAGTATGTTTGAATTTAGTGAGTAACACACTTGTATAATGGGAGTTGTTTTTTTTAAAAAGTTTTTTAATTCGGTCAAATTTGCAGAACCCTGTATCTCCTCCACAGATTCTTCGTGTTCCATGGAACATATTTTGAAAACCTTGGGATAGATGATCCACTGGGATCTTTTCCAGCTCAAAGATTTTAAATTGTCCTTTTGGATTAGACTTGCTGAGCTTAATTCAGATTGCCTCATTTAAAAATGTTTCTGAAATGTGAACAAAGTTACCTTACAGAGTTTTGCATCTTTCCAGGGATAGCCAATGATTTTATCCCCCAGAATCCTTCACCTTTCAAGGAATTATTTAACAATGAGACCAGTGACTCAACAGGGCCCAAACCTTTTTATTTTACAATATGAGCTCCAAGACACTTACTGATCTGCTGTGAATATAAAATATTATTAGCCTTATCAAATATCGAATAAATGAATACAGCTCTTTGTTCACGCTATTAAACTGGGTGATAATTCTTTAGATGTGACTGTTAGGTAGGTTCTACTGTAATAACATTGTAAAAGTTGTAAATTTGTTTGATGGATGAAATGTATACTTTTTGTATTCTGTACAGCTTTTTCTTTTTTAAATATGAAGTACTTAAATGTACTTACTATAATAGGAAATATAATGTGTGCCTTCTAGGATTTGTGAAGTGGTCTCATGAGCTCTAAGGAATTTGTTTTAAAAGTTATAAAGTTTTTCCTATCCTAACTCAGTAACAGAGGGTTTACTCCGATTATGTATAGAACCTTAGTTTGAGAAAATGAATTTGACTATGTACTGAATTTAGAGGTTGAGAATAATAGTATCTGTGTTATTCTTAGGACCACTGATAAATTATGCAATAAATAATCATTCGCAAGTTAAAAAAAAAAGACACAGTCTGCCAAAATTAACACAAAAAGAAATCAACACTTTTAGTAAATTTATATTGATTAAAGTAATTGGATTAATAATTAATAACCTTCCAAAACAGAAAGCACAAGGCCCGGATGGATTCATTAGTGAACGCTTCCAAACATTTAAGGAAGAAATTATACCAAACCTCTATAATCTCTCCGGGAAGCAGAGGTTACTTCCTATCCCATTCTATGAGGCTGGCATACCCTAATATTCAAATTAAACCAAGATATTACAAAAGCTTGGTGCAGTGGTTCACACCTGTAATCCCACACTTTGGGAGCCTGTGATGGGATGATCACTTGAGTTCAGGAGTTCAAGACCAGCCTGGGAAAATATCAAAACCTCATCTCTACTTAAAAAAAAAAAAAATTTCCAGGCACAGTGGCTCATGCCTTTAGGAGGCGTTTCTACTAAAAATACAAAATTAACTGGGTGTGGTGGTACATGCCTGTAATCCCAGCTGCTCAGGAGGCTGAGACAGGAGAATTGCTTGAACCTGGGAGGCAGAATTTGCAGTGACCTGAGATCACACCATTGCAGTCCAGCCAGGACAACAAGAGCAAAACTCCTCAAAAAAAAAAAAAATTGCTGGTATGGTGGCACACATCTGTAGTCTCAGCTGCTCGAAAAGCTGAAGTGGGAGGATCACTTGAGCCCAGGAGATCAAGGCTGCAGTGATCTGTGATCATGCCACTGCATTCTAGTTTGGGCAGTAGAGTAAGTCCTTGTCTAGAAAAAATTTTTCAAGAAAAGAAATCAAAGAGTATAATTAATTCTATCAGGAATGCTGGTTTCTTCATTTTTGAGGCTATGACAAACAGGACCATTTTATCCATTGAATAATACAGACCCCCACATCAAGAGTCTGGGAGCTTTTCAGGGTTTATAAAAAATGTTTTATACATGAAAAAAAAAATTTGTATATCTCGAATTTACAAAAAGAAAACTGCAAAATCCTACACATTGCCAAAGCTGTAGAAACTGAACTCCTAGTCTTTTGATTCCCCGTTTTTTACGGCTCTGAATACCATAGGACTGCCAGCATTTCTGGCTCCAGTGGCAAATCTAGCCCTAATATAGATGCTGTAGGGCAATAAGATCCTCCGATAGTCAGATGGATGCCTAAACTATCATAGCCTAATGACATCATTGCAACATCATTTTTTGAACTTCCTTGTGCTGATCCATTGTTCACCAGTTCACCTTCTGATTCCCATGTAGGTGTGCAGAGAGGATGCAGTATGTCTTTGGGTATTTCTGCTCTAACAATGCTTTCTCAAGTACACCAATACAATAGCTTGTGATTAAGAGCTGTCACACCACATGTCTAGAATTTGAGAAGAAAATAGGCTAATCTGGGCACCGTGGCTTACACCTGTAATCCGAGCACTTTGGGAGGCTGAGGAAGGATCACGAGGTCAGGAGTTCGAGACCAGCCCGACCAACATAGTGAAACTCTGTCTCTACTAAATATAAGAAAAATTAGCCAGGCATGGTGGCAGGCACCTGTAATCCTAGCTACTCCAGAGGCTGAGGCAGGAGAATCACTTGAACCCAGGAGGCGAAGGTTGCATTGAGCTGAGATCACACCACTGCACACCAGCCCGAGTGACAGTGTGAGACTCCATCTCAGATGAAAAGAAAAGAAAATAAGCCAATCATGTCAACATTATTATTATTATGGTCCCTTACGGCCATACATTTCTCAGTGTAAATTAAACTGCTAATTTAAGAGGGATGAGGAATATTCTCACACATCTTGTCATCCACATCTTTAGTATTAAACTTAATTCTAGCTGATTTGGGCCTCGTGAAGCCTTGGTTTATCTTATTCTCAATGTCCAGGTTCTAACCTCTACTGTTCTTCCATTGTTGACCTTCCCTTGCCAGGCCTATCTTAACAGCTGAACCCTGGGCTTCTGTTTCTGTATCTTTTCTTTTCTTTTTTCTTTTTTTTTTTTTTGAGACAAGAGTCTCACTCTTGTTTCCCAGGCTGGAGTGCAATGGCGCCATCTCGGCTCACCTCCCGGGTTCAAGTGATTCTCCTTCCTCAGCCTGACGTGTAGCTGGGACTACAGGCGCATGCCACCACATCCAGCTAATTTCTGTACTTTCAGTAGAAACTGGGTTTCACCATGCTAGCCAGGATGGTCTCGATTACGTCGTGATCCGCCCCCCTGGGTTTCCCAAGGTGCTGGGATTACAGGCATGAGCTACCGCACCCAGCCTGTTTCTCCATCTTTAACTGAGTTGTTTTAGGCTCTTGGGTAAAACCCTGTCAACTCAGTCCCCAGGTTTCTTGAGCCACAGTGACGCCCCTGAAGTTTGTGCTCCCTGAATGCCCCAGAGCTGGAAACCTAGCAGCTTTTGCACATAAAATTCCTTTTTTATAAAAGTGTTCAGGCCAGGCATGGTGGCTCACACCTGTCATTCCAGCATTTTGGGAGGCCAAGGCTGGCGGATCTTCAGGTCAGGAGTTTGAAACCAGCCTGACCAACATGGTGAAATCCCATCTCTACCAAAGATACAAAAATTAGCTGGACATGGTGGTGTGCGCCTGTAATCCCAGCTACTCAGGAGGCTGAGGCAGGAGAATCGCTTGAACCCAGGAGATGGAGGTTGCAGTGAGCTGAGATCGCGCCACTGCACTCCAGCCTATGCAACAGAGCGAGACTCCATCTCAAATAATAATGATAATAATAATAATTTCCCACTAGTACATACTAACAGCTATGAGATACTGATTTTAAAGACTGTTTTAATGAAAGCAAATAAAGAACAGTGCCTTATAAGCCAATATTTAAAGAAAGCTGAGAGCATTATGAAAAATTTTATTTTTATTGGTTGGTAATTATACCTGGATGGCTCATGAAATTACTGTCACATCCTTGATTTTATTATTCCCTCAGGAATTCCTTCTTTATTTTAAATGTGTTTTATGCACTGAGTGCATTTAGTGTCTCCTCTGTTAGACAATTACAACACTACACACACAGAGCTATGTAGTGTGCCTATTTTAACTACAGATTAGCTTCCTAGGAAGAACTGTGTTGGTATCCTTTTCCATTTAGAGTCAAAAGGAGTCTGCTGGCAGTCTGTTACAAAGAGCTGTTGAGATGACTGAATCTTCCTGAGCCAAGTCTTCACATCTCTCTTTTGTTGTTTTAATTTGAGTAATTATGAAAGATGGATTACTTTTTTAAAGACAGACTCTCACTCTGTCACCCAGGCTGGTGTGCAGTGGCACCATCATGGCTTACTGCAGCCTATATCTCCCTGACTCAGGTGATCCTCCCACCTGAGCCTCCCAGGTAGCTGGGACTACAGGCTCCAACTACCATGCCTGGCTAATTTTTGTATTTTTTGTAGAGATGGGGTTTTACAAAGTTGTCCAGGCTGGTCTCGAACTCCTGAGCTTAAGTGATCCTCCCACCTTTATCTCCCAAAGTATAAGGATTACAGGCATGAGCTACTGTGCCCAGCCAAAAAAGACTGAAATCTTTTATTTCTGATAGAGACCTCAAACAGCTCGCTGTATAGGCCTGACCCCAGCTTGCCTTTTTATTTCCTGCATTTTTTGTCTGTTGCTCTTCAGAGAAACTGTATGATATGAATGAATGAATGAATGAATGAATGTGTGTGTGCACATACATATATCTTCATTCAAAAGCTATATAGCACATGTATGTTTGTGTGTATGTGTATATATGTGCCTTTACATAAGTATACACACACACACACACACATACATACACAAAGCTATAGAAAATATATATCTTGTGACTAAAATTCTCTGAACTACCAGTAACTCCAGAAATCCTATTCTGGAAAACAATGGGTAACACCTAATTCATTATCTTTGAATTTTCACAAAAGGAATATGAAAATGTGGTTTCTACTGCAATGCAGTTCAGATGGGTATTCTCGGAGGCCATGGTTCCAAGACATTTGTTTGACAACTGTATTGAGTAGTATATTTCTCTACTTCCTTTATTTTTTCCCTTGCAAAAAAATTAAGAAAAATGTGTTATTCTTCCTTCAAGTTCTCTTTTTCCTGGCCTACAAAGTGAGTATGTTACTAGCAGAACTTTCTCTAAAATGAAAGAAAGTCATTGCTAAGAAGAGACAAAAAGTTAGCAGGATTAAGGGAATAAAAAGGGACATGGAATTGCTGGGTATGTCCAGAATCTGAGAAGATTTGAGAAGAGGAGCAGCAAGAATTTTTGTATTTTAGAATTTGAGGGGCCCTTCTGGCCTAGTTTGAAAAACACAATCAGGCCGGGCGCAGTGGCTCATGCCTGTAATCCCAGCACTTTGGGAGGCCGAGGCAGGTGGATCACGAGGTGAAGAGATGGAGACCATCCTGGTCAACATGGTGAAACCCCGTCTCTACTAAAAATACAAAAAATTAGCTGGGCATGGTGGTGCATGCCTGTAATCCCAGCTACTCAGGAGGCTGAGGCAAGAGAATTATCTGAACCCAGGAAGCAGAGGTTGGGGTGAGCCGAGATCGCGCCATTGCACTCCAGCCTGGGTAAAAAGAGCGAAATTCCGTCTCAAAAAAAAAGTAAAAAAAAAAAATAGCTGGGGATGTGTGCACATGCCTGTAGTCCCAGTTACTCAGGAGGCTGAGGTAAAAGGATTGTTTGAGACTGCAGTGAGTTATGATCGCACCACTGCATTCCAACCTGGGTGGCAGAGAAAGACCCTGTCTCCAAAAGGCAGGGTTGGGGGTTGGGGAAGGAACAATTCTGTATGATACTGGGTTGAGGATAAATGGCTCTGCATTTGTTAAAATCCATAGAACTGTATATCGCAAAGTGGGAACTCTTAATACATACAATTAAAAAAAATTAGGGCCAAGATGTCGCAGCCCAAGGAAAGAAAGCCTGAGTCGGGGAGCGGCGGCGAAGGAGGGGAAGGAACTGAAGAGGAAGATGGTGCTGAGCGGGAGGCGGCCC